GGCTCACCTTCTCTGCCCTAGGAGCTTGGGATGGCGGTGGGGGAGCTTCCTTCTGGGTGCTGGGACCGGCTCACCTTCTCTGCCCTAGGAGCTTGGGATGGCGGTGGGGGAGCTTCCTTCCTGGTGCTGGGACCGGCTCACCTTCTTGGCCCTAGGAGCCTGGGATGGCAGCAGGGGAGCTTCCTTCCAGGTGCTGGGACCGGCTGAGCTTCACTGCGGGAAAACTAGTCTTTTGATCCTAGATGTGTTTTTGAGGAAACAGTCCACAGTTTGTAGAGGTTTCAGTCCATAGTTGGCTGGCTCCAAGGCAGGACTGCATGACCAAGGGGCACAATCCCACATCTACCTGACCAAGCAGGTTAAAGCACAAAGCAGGAAAGTAACCTTCACAAGCGACACAGCAACTTGCTGCTAGGTCTGGAATTCAAAGCCAGCCTATCTGGCCTCCACCCACTCTGATATGCTGATTTCTTTTATTCCACCTGACACCAAATCTGCAGGCATCTTGATCTCTGACTTCCCAGCTTCTAGAACTGTAAGAAATAAATTTCTGTTTCTTATAAATTAACCAGTCTCTTTATTGAAGGCCTAATCGATAATATTTATTATCACTATTTTGTAGACATTTCAGTGCAATTTAGCTGGGTCCAAGTCAGGGTGGGGGTGGGAGGGAGCATCTCAGAGGAGAAACAGTGCATGGCAAAGCAGAGCAGGCAGAAGGCGGCAAAGCAGCGAAGTAGCCTGTTACCAACTCTTCATATGCTCAGTCATACAAATCAGTTCATCCCATCATTTACTTGGTATTGTGCATTTATATTGACTTCCTGACAGGTTTTTGTTTTTTGTTTGTTTTTTTTTCTTTTGGTACCGGGGATTGAACTCGGGACCTTGCACTTGCGAGGCAGGCAGTGGAACCTCTGTGCTAAATCCCCGGCCCATGACAGGTTTGGTATAACTGGTTTCTGCAGCATAAGGGTACAGTTGAATTCTAAATAAAGCTGTTTTCTGTAAGGAATCACCTTAAAGAATCAGACTAAGATGTGAAAGTGAACCATGTTTTCACTGGTACTTCTGGGGCTTTTGTGAGGATCAAGCGCCTGCTTATAGGGCTTTTGTGGCTGTAAGTCAGGGGTGGGCAGGGTTTTGCTCTCAAGCCCAGATGCACTGGAAGGCTCACATTCTGTTTTTCTGGGCCCCCACCCCCACCCCTGATCCCCTGTGACCCTGAACCTCTTAGTATTTTGTGGGTAAAACATGTTTGCTCTGCTGATGACATGAAAGGAGATTTTCTGGGGCAAAGGCCAGACCCCTGTGTCAAGGTGGCGTAAGTCCTATGAAAGGTGAGGACACCCCTCCATGTGGGGCTGGGTGCAGCCCCTTCAGTCTTTCATGCCTGCTAGTGGCCGCCTTCCTCCACCTCAAGCTTTACCTGCTTCTTCTGCCTCCAGCATTTCCAGGTGCATATATTCAGCGCATGTGGATCTCTCTGCCCCATTTCCTTGTTTCCAGCATTGAAGAGGGAATCTCCTAACTTTGAACCATACCTACACTGCCTAGAGCACTTGCTCCAGGGCTTAGGCTTCAAGATGTGTTGCTCCACCTCCTCGGTTGTGTGAGGCCAGGAAAGCCGAGTCCACAGCTCCCGGGACTCCAGGATGAAAAGCCACATCCCAGACCTGTCCTTTGTGGACAGGAGGCACTTAGTTGCCCGGTTTCACCTGGTCCTCACAAATGTTTAATCATTGGGGAGCTTGTCTTCTTTCTCTGAGGGTAATTTATTTTGCTGGCACTTTTTAATCTGTTACGACCTTATTGTTCATAGACTTCCTGAGAATGTCATCAGGCACAGAGAGCCTTTTCTTTGAACGGTGGTAAAAACACTTTATCGTTGAGGTCCTGAAATTGTGAAGTACCTCCCTCGTGGCCCACTCTGCCATCTGTGTGTTGCCTGTGTTTACTGGTTTGCTTTTCATTATAGCTGTGCAGTCATCTCATCATGTTTGGTATTTGTTGTTGCTGACTTTAAAAAAATGCATGAAATACTTAACATCCTGTTCACATGTAGGTAATATTTTTTATCAAATTCCTGCAGTACCCAGAATGTGAATTGGGTCCATTTAATCTGCATTAAAGAGTTGTTAATTAAAAAAAACCTTTCAGTAGAACAAAAAGTTAGAGCAGTCAGAATTAGAAAACGAATTTCTTTTGTTTTAAAGCATGTAGAAGCGTGAAGGGGAAGAGGCGCTGATGGTGAAGTGGGGTCGTCCTTGGGTCTGCCTGTTGTCCGTCCGTTGTACAGGGCATTTGGTGGGGCTGTGGACTTGTCACACACAGTGCAGTGTCCCTTGTGGCCTTCCCTTCCTCAGAGGCGGTGTGGAGGCTGCCACCAGGTACCATCAGTTTATTGAGTACAGAAATTGAGGGTGAGCATGTAGATACTTACAGCAGTTGGCCAGATGCTGTTGTATCTGTTGAATGCTGTAATACAGTAGGGCTTGTATTTTATCTACTTTAATTATTAAAAAAAATACATACATTTGAAATAGTATTCAAAGGGCGAAAAAATAACTAAACACAAAACTGTCTCTCATCTCAGTCTGAGCAGCTCTGCTCTAATGATTTCTGAATATAGTGGACCCTCGAGTTACGACCGGCCTGACATAGGAACAGCTTGGGTTACCACCGGAATTTTAGTTCTAACTTATGACCAGAGACTTGAATTACAACCTGAGCTCTGGAGAGAACATTACGACATCTTTTCCTGCGTGAGGTTGAGAAATCCTAGACCAGTGTCTAAGGATACTGGGATCTGCCTGTACACAGGAGAGAGACTCTGAAGGCTGTGTAGAGGAGCCTGAGTCTTCAGTTGACCAACTTGAGTTACAACCAGCTCTGGCTAATGAATTGAGTTCATAAGTCTAGGGTCCATTGTCCCCTTTTCTCTCTAAATGTGTTCCTCTGTGCCCTTCCTCTGGCCTTTAGTAGCTTCTGAGGTTCCAGGCAATCAGTTGACTGCAAAAGAAGCTCTTAGGGTATATTACCTCATTCCCTTTCCTTTGAGGGTTTCTGTTCATCTTGATTCTTCCTTCCAGTGCCTCAGTGGTGTGACTGTCTCATTTTGGTTATTGCTGGCTTCTGAAGTGCTTGCTCTCCATGGGCTGCGGTGTAGTTTTAAAGGCCTGGGTTGCCCAGTAAGTTGCTGGAGGAGTCCTGCTGTCTCCTTTTGATCCTGTGTCAGTTTGTGTTGGGAACATGATCCAGACAGTGTTTTGATGGGGTCAAGGGAGGGCAGGAGTAGATTACTGGTTAGAGCGCAAGGAAGATTAAGTTTAAAGTGAGAAATACCTTGATTAAAAAGCAGGAGATAGCTTTCTAATTAAGCAGGGCAGGAAATAAAAACACCTAACATTGTGACGTTTAATATTTTTTGAGGATGGGGGTTTATAAAGTAAAATTTAAAGATGTTCATTTGTACAAAGTGAAGTGTTTTGAGCATCAGCAAGGATATTACTCCATGTAACCTATTTCCAACAATGAGTTTACAAGGGAAGAACTATTTGTGTTTTAGAAATACATCTGATTGCTTTTTATTTCTTAATAAATTTTATTAATTGATTTGAGTTTGGAGGCAATATCAGTCACTCACAGTGTTTGATACTGATTTGAAATTCTAACCAGACTTATTTAATACCTGATATACCATGGGACTTTTCTTCCCCCTTCCCATGTGTTCCTGCCTTCAAATAATATCATTTCTTTCTGTCTATGTGAGCAGGACTAGAGGGCTAACTTGAAGCAGGACATAGGCCAGTTCTTATTCTTAGAGGCACTTTCTGTCCTGTATGTTGAGGTCTTTACAATTCAAGGAAAAGCTATTATTACACAATTTGTGATAAAAGTTAGGTTCTACTTATAGCAAAAACATTAGTGTACTTGTCTGTGTAGAAAAAAGGACATCCTCTGTTGGCAGCAATGTTTGGAAAGAAGTAAAGAAACAGTTCCAGTGTTCATTAGAGTTCAAATGCGTCTCACACATTAGATTTTCCGGATGAAAGGTGTCTCTTTCTGGATGTCTGTTAGGTGGAGGAGTTGAGGGTAACAGATCATCGTGGTGTTGTACTAGGAAGGGGCCCCTTTTTGAATCCCTGACAAAGGAGTTTGGCTTTGACCTTGTCTGCAGAGGCTAACCCATAATTTGGTGGGTTTTGAAGAGGTTGGCTATGCTACAGAGACATTTGGTTATTTTTTGTGTTTTAAAAGCTTTAATTATTTTAACATACTTCTGTGTTTGAATTCAGAAGAGAATAGAGGTGGGACTTGGGTGATTTGAGATAGAATACAGGAGAGTGCTGCATAAACAGTTAAAAGTATCCCACATGTCAGGGTAGAGTAAGAGTGTGTGTGTGTGTGTACAAAGGATCGGGCACTGTGTAAAAACAATAGTCATTTGCCTTTTCTTCCTCACTGTGTGCCTAATTAGTGTAAAAACTATGAATCCTCTACTGTCAAATATTGTGTCCCATTTTCTAAATACCCAGGCACACATGTAGTTGGTGCACATAAATACCCTCGCACACACAGTTTCTGGTGCATATTTTATATCCATGTATAAAACAGCCCTTTCACCAAGTTTATAGCCCATTAAAGCAGGCCTGTGGTTTATGAGAGTGTGAGAGATATAGAACCTTAATTAGAAAGAAAGAGTGTGCTTGAAATGGGGTCTTTTTTTTTTTTCCCTTTTTCCTTGTGTGTCATGATTTTATTGCTGCAGGTAGGACTGTATCCTCCGGTCTCATTTTAATTTTCTTTTGCTTTTGCAGGCCCAGGCTGCAAGCACAAAGGAAGTTTGCTCAATCTCAGCCGAATAGTCCCAGCACAACTCCAGTGAAGATAGTGGAGCCTTTGCTACCCCCGCCAGCTACTCAAATTTCTGACCTCTCTAAAAGGAAGCCTAAGACAGAAGACTTTCTTACCTTTCTCTGCCTTCGAGGTAAGCTTGGTGCCAGGCTGTTTGGAAGGAGGGGCCCAGTTGACAAAACCGTGGACTGTAAGGGCATGCATGGAGCCCTGTTGGCTTTGCTCTCTGCCACTCTTGTCCTTCATTTCTCCAGCCTGGTGCTGGGAGAATTTTAAGGAAGGAACCCTGAGAAGGAGCTTTCTGGCTTTTTGGACCAGCTATTTGTTGGGTCTTCATATTTCTTCTGTTTCCATTTGAATTTTATACCCACTTCTTTGCTTCACGATGCAAGTTATAAAGTTTGTAGTTTGAATTTTAATTTAACTTCTCCCAAAATTCAAACCCCTCTACTGCCACCACTTCCGATACCTTGTCACCTACAGTGCTGACTTGTCACCTGCTGTGCGAGAGGAATCGTGGATGGGTATGAAGTCTCCTCTCCTTGTTTCCTGAGGCCTGTCAGAAGTCCCTGCTGCCCGAGAGCTTTCCTTTACCTTGTGAAAACCAGCAGTAGGACTTTTTACTCTTTTTTTTTTTTTTTTTTTTGAAGCCGGGTATCGAACTCAGGACCTTGTGCTTGTGAGGCAGGCACCGGAACCACTGAGTAAATCCCCGGCCCAGTAGGACTTTTTAAAGTCTGCGTCAGAGAACATACTTACTCGTGGATATGAATAGTATGCACCAACAGGATGCAGGCTTTTCTTTTTTAACAAAGGATAAGTTTGAATTTAAATAGAACTGCGTTTTCTAATAGTTGAGGTAAAAATAAATGGTCTTCTAGGAGAACCTTGAGGACCTTGGAGGGAGGGAGCTGGGGAGCCATGACCTTGGCGTGTTCCCCGGGTGAATTTAGTTGGGAAGATGAGTGGGAAGAAAGACTGTGCTCTTGCACTTTTGTGGAAAGTCTCCAGGTTCAGGCTTACTTTGTTTTTTGATTTTTTTTAAAGAGGAGATTGAAGTAAGGGCATTGGCACTGGGCTACAGTCCCCAGGCTGTGTGCCTTCCCTCCTGCTCTTGTTTTTTATTTTTCGACCACTTCTTAATTGCCCAGGTTGGGCTTCCCCTCCTGCCTCAGGCTCCCAGAGTGCCTGGACAGCAGGTGTGTGCCCCCACTTCAGGCTTACGTGTACTTAAAAAAATTTGTGTTTTAAGTATTTTACATTATAAGTAACTGTAGGGGACAGGGGAAGGGGACGTTACCAGAACCTCTGCAGTTAGTCCTGGTCTCCTGCGAGCCACGGCAGCACACGGCGAATTACAGGAAAGGTAGAAAAATGAGACCGAGAAGAAGCTGAGCTTTGGGTCTGATCAGTGCTGCTCTGGGCGGCAAAGACAAAAACCCCTAGCTTGCAGCACCTTTTATTTAGTACATCCAAAGAAACAAATGTAACAAATGAATAATGTAGATTTCAGTATCATATTGGGATGAACAAGGTGTAACAAAAGACTGGGTGGGGGGCGGCGGAAATCTAAGAACAATGAGGAGCTATGCAGATGAAGATTTAGTTCCTCCCAGGAGCTACACAGATGAAGATTTGGTTCCTCCCAGGGCGGCTCCCACAGGTGTGCTCTTGTCCTGGAGCATTACAGCATCATGGGATCATTGAGATCTTCCTTGTGACCTGAGGCCAAAATGGAAGTATGTCTTGGAGTGTTATTGCTGGCCTGTAGGCAGGAGAACTAGGCCTACTCAAATGATTTCTCCCTAGAATTATGTAGCATTGCTCCCAACAAGTAACATCTTTCTGGAATCTTTTAAGTGTCTGCCTGGTGCCCCATCACCTCTCAACCCATTAGTGTGTATTTCCTTCAAATAGGGGCATTCTGTAACCATCCAGACGAGGAAGTGCACAGTAACACACACTCTGCACCCCGTGCAGTCCGCACACCCCTGTTTCACATTGCTGGCAGTGCTCTTTCATGCCTGAGTCCGGAGCAGAAGGGCTCGGTTTACAGCCTGGCATTGGCTTCAGTTGTCCTGTCTCTGTGGTCTGTCTGTTCTGGAACATGTCCTGAGTATTTGCTTTTGATAGCCTTGGCACTTGAAGGTACGGTCCAGATATTCTGTAGAATGTTCCTCAGTTTGTGTTGCTTGGTGTTTGTTCATCATTGGATTTCAGGTTTGTGTTTTTGGTTGGAGTAATAAAGTAAAAAGTGATGCTTCTGTTTTTGTCATGGGGTTGTCTTGGGTGGCACACAGTTTCAGCCCATCCCTTTTTTGGGTGATGTTCATGTTGCTTATTCAATTAAGGTGGGTCTGTCAGGAGGCCCCAGTAAAGTTATCCATTGCAGCCTTTGTTATTTGTAAATGGTCTTTTAGAAAATTATTTGAAATTGCATCTTTTCTTTCTCAACCAAACTAAATTTTTTTTTGGTATCTCTGTGGACTTCCTATTTTATCGAAAGACTTGTGACAGGGAAATCCTTTAGGTATCATTTTGGTTTTGTTCTTTTGATATGTTCCTGTCATGCTAGAGCTTTGCTGGCTTGCAGTGAAAGTGCTCAAGTCTCATCTTGTACCTTCCCCATTCTCAGTTCCGGAATTGGTCATTTCACCAAGGAGCCTGATTTTCTTTTACAGATAACTGATGTTTAGAAGCCAAGATGTGGGCTTTGGGTGTGCTCAGAGCTATTGGAGTGCTGTTTATTTTAGCTGTTGTGTGTGGCCTGAGATTATATGTGTGAAAGCACATGCACATACATACTTTTGAGTATATTTACAAATGTATGTACAGCTCTTTGTATATTGAAATTCACGAGTTAGCACCTTTACCTCCAATTTCAGTTTAATACCAGTGGGCTCTGGCTTTCTTCCTTTCTACATTCATCACTAAGAAACTGGGCTCCTGTTGTCTTTACTATATTGATTAACTCAGTCATGTTGTGTAACCCACCTGCCATTTTTCTGCCTGTGTGGAACATGGCTAATCTCAGTCAGCTCTGATACCCTTTTAGAGTTGCTCCTTGCTCCTGGTCCCTCACTCCACCTCACCAGGTGACTTTGGTTAGGGGAGACCCATGTCTGTTACTATAGGTATGTTGGTAAACCCTAGAGATTCTCTTCAAGACGAAAGGAAGGAGAATAATTATATTTCCTTAGCATTTGTGCATCCTTTGGCCATTAATGAAGGGAGATGGGTTGGTGGACTTCCCACTGTTCAACTTTGTTATTTTTGACAAAGTTCCTTGTTGACTCTTCTGATCCCAAGTATTCAATATGAAGATGAAGAAGGAGATGTGAGAAAAAGAATGACCGATAAGACTGTAGGCCATATGGGATAAGGGGATATTGGGATTGGAGAATGAACAGGACAAGGTGCTCTGAAGATGGAATTTAAGATAAAGGAGACTTTGAAGGGTAATCAGCAACATGAGTTCAGGTCAGTAATTAAAATTCTGTTATGTGATGAGACTCTTAATTTGATAACTTAGTTCATGTGGCTTTTTTTCCTTCCCCTTCTCCCTAAGGATGGAACTCAGGGCCTTTCTACTGAGCTACATCCCTAGCTTTTTATTTTTGTATTTTGAGACAGGGTCTTGCTAAGTTGCCATGCTGGACTCAAACGTGTGATACTCCTGCTTTAGCCTCGAATATGCTGAGATTATGGGCACAAGCCACTGGGCCCGATTTCCCGTGGCTTTTTAACACTTGCGTACCGACTTGAACCACTGGTGGTACATGCATGACTGTCCATTTTGGGTATCATGGGACAGTCCCATTGGTTGTTACAAACCATCCAGTGGGACAGTCATGCATGTACTGTGTGTGTTAATGGCATTTGGAGCTAGATTTTTAAAAAAGACACCCATGACTCAACTCTGTTGGTTACTTGAGGAGTTATTTTGGCATCTAGAATTGCTGTGGGCACTTTGCTTAACTTACATTTGGAAATAATAGTCTGTGCCTCCAAGAGATCCACTGTGTTCATTAGGATATCTGAGAATTGCTGTCTTGATCATGGAATGTAGGTGTTTGAGCCTTTAGTGTGGGCTGGGTATGACTGCTGTTTCTATGTCTCAAAAGATGTACAAGTAGAGAAATATAACAGGGATCATCTCAGTGACTACATGTAGGTGGAAACACCTGTGCCTATGGTGCATGTACCTTATTTTTAAAATCATGTGGTTCTGGGAGATTGGGGGACAGGACCTCTCTTAGAGAGGTGTGCTTACTGCTTTCATAAGCGGAACATAGAGAAAATCTTACCAAGCACCCAGCTTGGAAGTTTCCTGTCGACCTGAAAGTGACATCTTTTCATAGACACAGATTACTTCTTAGAGATGTCAAATGCAAGAAAGATCTAAATAAGGGAAACCTAGGAGATGTGTAAAACAATTTTGGAAAGATGCTCTGAGTCTTGGTATTTATTTCTCCATTTATGAGCCAGAAAATAATGAAGGGTTTGTTTTTAGCTAGTGTACAGTAAAGATTCTTACTGCACTCTTACTGTTCCTCCTATCATTTTATAGAGAAGAAGTATTAAAAGTGAGTCAGCATTTCATCTTTCATTAGTTCAGGTGTACCTGTTCTGTCTGTGAAAGCCCAAAATGACAGGTGATATATGTTATGTGTTTATGACCTTGGAAATCGAATAGAAACATATTTCAATTTTAACTTACAAAAACTAAGGTGTTAACCTTTTTATCTGTGTCATAGAAGTATTTTTTACTCCTCTTGGAAATATCAGCAGAAAAACAGGCAAAGAGTAAACTCAATATAGCCTCCTTTCTATTTCTCAGAGAGAGCCATTGTTAGCTGTCTCCTTGGTGAACACCTACAGCTAATGTACTGAGGAAGCCTTCTGTGTGCGTGTATATAGTACATGTAACTTCCCGAAAGGGTATTGTATTCTGTTTTTCTCTTTTTTATTATCTCGCAAATACTTGTCTGTCATATTTTACCAATTAAACAGTGTTCCATTTTGTGGATGTTTTGTAATTTATCTAATTCCTGATTTATGTTTAGATTCCTAAGTATTTGATATCAACAGCTTGTAATGATGAATATCCTCAGTGAAATCTTGGCTTCCTCA